TGTGAAGGCGGGTGGGAGCTCCTCAGAGGTCAGATGCAAGCCCATTGGGGTGCATGCCAAATCCCAGCATATTAGGTTGGATCTGGAAAGTTCCCTGGGAAGCTCCCATGTTGGAAGCATGGTCTCCAGAGTAGTGAGGGTCAGAGGTGGGGCTTAGAGCAACTAGAATGGTGACCTCCTCAGCAGATCCATCCATTGAAGGATTATACTTTGAATGGACTCACTGAGAAGTGACTGCAGGTTGGTGGGGCATGGGTGGAAAAGGTGGGTCACTGGAGCATGCCCTTGGCAATTATATCTTGTCCTCTCTGTTTCCCTCCCCCTCTCCCTCCATCCCTTGTTCTCTCTTTCTCTATCTCTCCCTCCCTTTCTTCCTCTCTTCCTCCCTTCCCTCTCTCCCTCCCTCCCCCCTCTCCCTTCCTCCTTCCCTCCCTCTCCCTCCCTCCCTTCTCCTCTCTCCTCCCTCCCTCTCCCCTCCCTCCCTCTCCCTCCTTCTCTCCCTCCTACCCTCTGTGATCACTGGGGTCCTGAGCTGCCCTCCTGGGGGCCCTTCTGCCATGATGCTCGGCCTCACCTCAGGCCCACAGCTATGGAGTCAGCCAACCGAGGCCTGAATCCTGAAATCATAAGCCCCAAATATGCTTTTCTTCCTCCAAGTTGTTCTTGTCAGGCATTTTGGTCACAGTGACAAAAAGCTGATTAACACACCCAGTGGAGAGAGGATGGCAAGTCCCAGGCCAGGCTGGGCAACTTAGCAAGACCCCATCTCAAGATGAAAAAGTAAAAAGCGGGAGGGGCTGTGGCTCAGTAGTAAAGTACCCCCGAGTTCAATCACCTAGATAAACAAATAAAGAATTACTTTAGAATCTAGCTATTCCAATTTGGAGTATAAAATAAAAAGAGCTGAATTCCCAGACAGATACACATTCATCCAGGCTTACAGCAGCTGGAAGGTGGAAGCATCCCAAATGTCATGGATGGAGGGTGGAGAGGCAACATGGCTTAAACACAGTGGAGTGATATTCAGCCTTAAGAAGCAAGGGAATTCTGGTGGCAAGGTGTGTGGAGCACACCGCTATCCCAGTAACTCGGGAGGCCAAGGCAGAAGGATTACAAGTTTGAAGCCAGTCTCAGAAATTGAGTGAGGCCCTAGGTAACTTAGTGAGTCTCTGTCTCAGTGTTAAAAATAAAAAAGGGGGCTGGGGCTGGCATTCAGTGGTAGAGCATTTACCTTGTATGTGTGAGGTCCTGGGTTAAATCCTCAGCAACACATAAAAATAAATAAATAAGGATGCTGCATCCATCTACAAGTAAAACACAAATATTAAAAATAAATAAATGAATAGGGATGGGGATGTGACTCAGTGATAAGTGCCACTGGGTTCAATCCCCAGTGCTGCAAAATAAATAAATAAATAAAATTTTAGTTAGTCGAGCTGCTGCAGGACTGCAGCCACTGGGGAGGCTGCAGTAGGAGGATGGCAAGTTCAAGTCCTGTCTGAGCAACGTARCGAGACCCTGTCTCAAAATAAAATTGAATAAAAAGGGCTGAGGATGCAGCCAGTAGCACAGCACTTGCCTAACATGTGAGGCCCTGGATTCAACCCCAGCACTGCAAAAAACCCCGGGACATTCTGATACCTTCTGCTACCTGGATGACCCTGAGGACACTGTGCTCGAAGAAGCAAAGGTGAAGGGGACAGTGCTGTGGGATCCCACATCCATGAGGTCCCCAGGGTCACCAAATCCAGACTCACAGAGGTGGAGTGGTGGATGCAGGGAGCTGGGCAGGGGCTGGAAATGTGCTTATGAGGAAAGGAGAGAATCCTGTGGGTGGGCGGAGGTGCTGGCCAACACCACTGAACAGTGGACCTGGGAAGAGCTAAAACAGAAATTTTATGTTATATTTATTTTACCCCAATGGGAAAAAAAGAAAAGGCTGTTCTGATCTGCATTTGATGGCCTTCCCTGTAATCAATTATTGCAAGTGGGACTCATCAATCAATGAGTTGAAAAGGCAGCGGCAGCTATAGGCATTTCCAGGGGCTCAGAGTGCCTCCCCAACACTGGCCACAAGGGGAAGTGGGGAGCACCTGCGGACGCCTCAGCCCACGGCCAGCCCGGCCTCACCCACAGCAGACGGCTGGCATCACATGCCCTTGCCCCACGCTCTGAGGACTCTCTGCCCGCCAGAACCAAGTCCATCTGCTCCACCTGAGCTGATGAGAAGGAAATGAGGTCATTCAAGGGCCAAGCCCTGAAAAATGGGGGGGCTAGCCCCTCCCCAAAAAAGGCCATCCCAGGGAACTCAGGACTGAGAAAGGGATTCCATAGAGAGGGAAAGGTAGGAGGACCACGTGCTCCTTAGGGTTTTTCTCTGTCTTTTCCTGGTTGTAACATAGCAACTGATCTTGACCTCCTGGGGCTAGGTTTTGTAATTTTTTTCTTGTGGTTCTGGGGATTGAACACAGGAGTGTTCTACTGAGCTATATTGTTTTTTATTTTGAAATATGGTCTTTGCTAAATTGCCCAGACTGGCCTCAAACTTGTAATCCTCCTGCCTCAGGCTCCTGCAGCTTGGATTACAGGTGTGGCCACAGCACCTGGCTATTTCCTATAATTATTTTTAAAAATATTTTTGTATTTGTAGATGAACAGCATGCCTTTTATTTTTTTATGCCATGCTAAGGATCAAACCCAGTGCCTCACATATGCTAGACAAGCCCTCTGCCACTGAACTACAGCCCCAGCCCTAGTTCCTATAATTCTTTAGAGAAACATATTACTTTTCTGCAAGTTAAGCCTCACAGTAATTCACATACTTTGTGTTAACTGGTGCACAGGAGTAGAGAATATGGAGGGTGTTCACATTCTGATGTTATCTGAATGTCACCAGATGTTCTGGGTCTGTAGACCTAAAGAAAGACTATGTAGCTGCTAACATTGCAGTCATTTAGGTGCCAATTTTCAGAGTGCTGGGCAAAGGGAGGGGAAGCAACTCTGCTAAGGACAGCTTGCAAAGGAGTGGCCACTGTTCCACAGTCTCAGTCTAACCTCAAAGAAACACCAGGCAAACTCAATGGAGGGACCTTCTGCAGGATAACTAGCCTGTGAGCTTCAAGGACATTGAGGTCATGGAACATTAAGAAAGACAATGGTGCTGGGGATGCAGCTCAGTGGTAGAGTGTGTGCTTAGTATGAATCAGGATTTGACATCTGGCACCACAGATAAACAGACTTAGATTCAGGAGACACTGTTAAATAAAAATTACAGGAGGCCATTGTTTTGGACTGGGGTCTTGCACTGGGCTGCAACAGGCCAGAGGTCCACACATGCCACCAGATAGAAACTAAGCTGTTTATATGACCTTCCAGGAAATCAAATTTTTTACACAATTTTCCCAAATAGGCCATTTTTCTTCTGCATGATAACGAAGTTCCCTGTTTTTATCCTTAATCCCCCCCAAAAAAGTGACCTGAAATAACCTAAATTAACTAACCGGTTATTTTTCTATTGTTCTATTCCCTGTCCCCACCTATAAGGAAAGCAGCTTTGAAACAAGCAACCCACTCTGTCTGTGTTTCTGCTTTCTTCAGCCTTTCTCTGTCTATAAAACCAACTCACCAAACACTTGTTCAGTTGTCTGGTCCTATATTGCAAACGAAGCCAGCTAGGACGGACTTTCAGCTAAATTTGTTGTAATGTGCCTTTTTTTTAAATACATTTATTTTGTTTATTTATTTTTATATGGTGCTGAGGGTTGAACCCAGGACCTTGCACATGCTAAGTGAGCGTCTACCGCTGAGCCACAATCCCAGTCCCAGTAATGTGCCTCTTGAGGATGCTTTGCAAAGTGGAGCTAGGGTGGGAACCTCAGCATTCAGGAACAAGCGCAAATGGCGACCACCGGCCTCACTGCGGGGCACGCCCACCAGCACACCTAGGAAGGAAAGACTTCTGAACTGGGGACGGACGGAACCGGGCCTCAGACACGTTAGTAAGCACTCCACCTCGGAGCTACACCCCCGATCCTTTTCAAATTTCATTTTGCACAGGATCTGGCTACATTATTGACCAAGCTGGCCTGGCACTCGCCATCCTCCAGTCTAAGGCCTCCCTGTAGCTGGCTAAAAATTTAAACCTACAATACCAAGTGCGGGTGAGGACGCGGGGCAGCGGAGGGGCTGCAGGACGGTGCAGGACGGTGCAGCCTGGGGGAGGCTTTCGGGCAGCTGCCTGTGAAGTCGAACAAACCTTCATGATCCAGCCTCCCGGGTCAGCCATCGGAAATGAAAACGTGTTAAGTTCACTGCAGCCCCGTCCTAACTACTCCTAACGCTAATGGACCCAAACACCCTCCAAAAAGTGAGATGTGCGTGTCTTGGGCCACGCACCAGTACTCAGAAAGGACGGACTCATGTGCACGTCGCCGAGACCCCGAGGCTGGGCGCTGCCATTCCACAACGCGGGGTCCAGAGACTGCAGTGCTTGCCAGGGGCTGGGCGGGCGACTGCGGTAGGAGACGCTCAGTAACCGAAAGCGGCGGGGGCCACACAGCCGCGTCTGCAAACAGCTTGCGCGTAAAAACGGAGACTTTGACCGAATGTGGAGCAATTCTTTAACACAAGGGGAAACGCGCAAGCGCTGCCCACCGCCTGGGCGGGTCCTCTGCGCGGCACCTGTCCACCACACCCCACCCTGTGCTCTCTCGCCGGTGGTCGGGCCGGCCAGACCGCGGACCAGCGGGCAGGGCGGCCGAGGAGCCAGAGGCCGGAGGCAGGGCGTGTGCCGCCCGGGCCCTGCTTCGCGCGCCCCTCCCTCCCCTCCCCCGCGCTTCCCGTCCCTCCCCACCCCCTTCCCCAGCGCGCCCTCTCCACGCGCGCCCCTTCCCCGGCCCGGCCCCCGCGCGCACCCTCCGCGCGCGCCCCACCCCTGCCTCCTCCCGCCCGCGTCCCGCCCCCGCCCACCCTGCCTCTGGCGCGCGCCGCGGTCGGCTGTCAGGAAGGCGCGCACCCTCGCCTTTAACGCGGGCCGGGGGCGCGCGGCCCGCATGGCGAACGAGCGGCGGCCGTGGCGGGCCGGGCCGGGCCGGGGCTGAGGCCGAGCCGAGCCGCGGGGCCGCGCAGCCCCGGCCGGCGCCCATCATGAGGCGGCTGCGGCGCCTGACGCACCTGGTGCTCCTCTGCCCCTTCTCCAAGGGCCTGCAGGTAAGCGGGCGGCCTGGCCGCGGGAGCGCGGCGTCCAGCCCCGTGGGCCGCGCGCGGGGACGGCGGGGACCAGGCTGGGGGAGGGGCTTGGCGAGGACGGGCAGAGGAGGGGCGCGGGGAGAGGGGCAGGGGCGCCGCGGGTGCTCCCCAGGCCTAGGGCCGCGAGTCCTTCCCTTTTTTCAGCACTTAAAAAATACGATTTGTTTTTCTCTGTAGCAGGCTTGGATACATAGGGACGCCCCAGAAAGGACGTCCCTATTCCCGCTAGGCCAGGGCCCGGGTCCTGACCCCCTGTGACCTTGGACAAGTCACCATTCCCTCCAGGGCCGGGCTCCTGTCTTCAGGAGAGGCCCAGGCTGCTGGGCATTCCGCTGCTGGGACCCTCTCCCCTTCTGCTTTGGGAAGATCTGGGTCAGGTCCTGTCCATCTCAAATCATCTGGGCCCCGCTTCTGGCCACCAGCCCCCATCCCACTTCTAGTTCCCCAGCGCCTGGGTCAGGAATTGTCCCTGGTCAGACCTTACATATCTTCCGCTTCCAGGGCAGCTCTGGGTCAGGGCTGGGGGGCCTTGCCAGGTTTTGCCCTTGGCCCTATTGCCTTAGGAGTGTGGTGGGGGCTGAGCAGTCTAAGGACTGTCTGCTAAGCCAGGAGGTGGGGTGTGCACTGCCCCATCCTGAGGGACCGGGTCGGCTCCCAGGGTCAGGAGAGGGCTTTGGTCAAAGCCTGGTTGGTCTGGCACAAGGGGAGAACCCTGATCTGACCCCATCCTGCCATTCCATAGTTGGACATGCACAGAGCCTCAGTTTCCCCTCCTGTGGAACACCCCTCTGGGTTGGTGGTGAGGAGCCGCTGGCACATGATTTAGACTTGCCAGGCTGGGGTCATTGTGCTGTTACTGTCCCTGCGGTGACCCTTCCTACTCTCCAAGTGGCCCCACAAGGAGCTGGACCTTCCTGCCCCTGCAAAGCTCTGGCCCAGTTCTGCAGGGTGGGGGTGTCCTCCATACTCAAGCTTGCCCCTCCCCAACCCCAGGAGCCTGGGTGGGCTGGGGAGCAGCTGCTTGGGGTTCACGGAGGGGTGAGACCTTCTCTGCACCTGGGATTTGCAGGAGGTTCAGGATGACCCTGGGAAGGAGCCCATATAGGAACTAGCTAGGTGAGGATGGCCCCTGGAGGGACCCTCTGGGCAAAGGCCTGGAGCCCTGGTGGAGTCGGGCTAGGGTGGGGTGGGCTTGGTGGGCAGGCTGTTGGTACTCTGTCAGTTTGTCCAACTTGGGTCTGCCCTTGCGTTTTGCACTGGCCAGGGCCTATCCCCCTCTGCCTGTTCCCCTAGGGCCCGGCCTGTATTCAGCCCTGCTGGGACTGATTACCCAGCCGGAAGTCCTCCGACCTTGTCCAGCGTCAGCAGCACACACACATACACACACCGTTTCTCTGCTTTCCTGTTTTCTGTTATGGACAGACCTGACGGAAACAGACGCAGGGCCTGGGTAGAACAGGCTGCCGAGGCCCAACCTGGTTAAGGACCAGCTGAGTGGCATCTGCTCTGCGCAGGCCCCAGGCCCTGCTGTTTTCCACTGACTACTGAGGCTCTGCATGCTCAGCAGCCCCAGGGTCTGTCTGCTGCAGGTCCTTCAGTGTGTGGATGCCAGGGAAGGAGGAGCGCCCACCTCCCCTGGAAGAACCATAGAAACCATCCAGCTACCCTGCTGGGCCCTTTTCTCAGAGGATCTGGTAGCCCTGGATCATGGGCCAGCCTGGAGCTAACCAGAGGGTCTTGGCGGCCATGGGAGGTGCTCTGTGCCAGCAGGGGCCTCCTTAGGGGTGGCTGATCTCTAAGCCTGGTCCTCCTGCCCTCCTTGCCTGGGCCAGGCTCTGTGGCTGATCCCTTGCATGGGACAAGCTGCCTGGTAATCCAGCATCCCCCACAAGGGCTATGATTTGCCAGGTTGGCAGGGGTTGGGGGCAAGGGAGGTGACATCCAGCTGTCCCAGGTTGTCACCCTTGGAAATCTTGCTTGAGCCTGGTGGGAGCCAGTGCCCAAGAACCCTGACAAGGAGCTCTGGGCCCCCCATACCCTGTGCTCGGACCTGTCAGTTGGGGAAACGGAGGCAAGGGGCTGAAGGTGACAGGATGACCTGGAGCCCTTCACAAAATCATAGTTCCCAGGCCCACCCTGAGGGATCAGGGGCTGCCTCCCTGCTTTTTAAAATCTGTGGTAAATACCCATGGCATGAAGTGTGCCACCTCGACTGTTTCCAAGAGGGCACTATTCACCTTGCAGCAGGCCTCAGACCTCCCTGCTTGAGGCCGAGGGGTCCCATGTGACAGGCCACTCATTGCTTGTCCATCATCCTTTCTGGACACGTGGGCAGTTGTGCTGAGTCTGTGACCTCCCAGGTGCGTCTGGGTCATGTCCTGGGGTCCCATCCTCCAGTCCCAGTTCTCCCGCTGGCCCTGACTTTCCCCAGTGTGCCCTGAGGTGGGTGAACAACCCCTTCCCGGCAGGGACAGCCACCAGACCACCGTGTGGAGGTGAAAATGTCATGAAATGAGAGGAGACAGGAGGGAGTTTCTAAGAGGTCTCTTTATTCAGCAGAAACTGATTTACTGCCCACAAGGGGCCCCAGCTGAAGACCCTGGTGTGCCCAACATGGGGGTTGCTGAGGGAGCAGCTGGGAACACCTGGTGGGGGCGCTGATCGGTGGTTCCTGAAGCTGCAGGGTGGGTATGGGCCTGGGTGATGGGTCTGGAGGCCAGGAAAGGGCTGAAAGGGTCCAGACTTTCCAGTTTGGGCCCCTGCAGGGCCTGGGTGGGGCGCTTCCTCACTCTGCCTCCCTGCAGGGCCGGCTGCCAGGCCTCAGGGTCAAGTATGTCTTGCTGGTCTGGCTGGGCATCTTCGTGGGCAGCTGGATGGTGTACCTGCACTACTCGTCCTACTCCGAGCTCTGCCGCGGCCACGTCTGCCAGGTGGTGATCGTAAGTGTCAGCCAGGCGGGGACCTCACTGTTGGCCAGGGCATGGGCCACTTGGAGACCTGGCAGGAGGCTGTTATCTGAGGCAGGCTCTGCTGGGGGCCAGAGGAGGGAGTGGGGAGATGTCATTAGGCTGCCACAGGTAGGTCTGGTGACCAGAGCAGTCAGCCAGGATGGACTGAGGGGTGGGCATCTTAGCGGGGAGTGGGCTGCAGGTGAGCTACATGCACAGGAGCATGAGCAGGATGAGCCAGCATGTCTCCACACCTCTGGTGCATGGTTGGCAAGGGGAGATGTCCCTGAGGCGGAGCCCTGCTTCTCTGAAGCCTGTCCCCATGTGGCCACCTTGCCACATCTTCCAGGGAGGCTGTCTCCCTCCACCTGCTGCCTCTGCCTTGGCCAAGTGCCAGGCTCTCGGCCTGCATGTACTGAACATTGGCCCATTACGCAGATGGGGAAACTGAGGCTGAGGGAGTATGGGGACTTGCCCAGGGGACCTGAGGAAGTGTGAACACACTGCTCACCTGTGCAACGCCCCCAACCCAGGTGAAGTACAGGGGAGGTACCTGAGACCCGAGAGCCCCAACCCAACCTGGTGCTAGGTGGCCAGCAAGCAGGCTCTTCCCTGACCCTAATCTAACCCGGTTGTTGTGTGCTGAGGGCAGAGCGGCCTCTGGGTCTGTAGCTCTGTGGGGTTCTGGACTTGCACTAGTTCTGATGGGGGCCGTCAGGCCAGACCCCTGRGAAGGGCCTGCCCATGGGGTGGTGGAATGGGGGCATCTGGCATCCCGTTCCCTCTCCCCCTCGGTTAGGAGCTGTCACTTCATGCTGCCACAGGGGCGGGCTCACAGGACTGAACCCGCTGTTCTGGGTCGGCCCAGCTCTTCTCGTCCACCCTTGGACTGCTGCCTTCAGCCCCTCCCTCCTGCCCTCCCTCCAGCCTGGCTCCCGCAAGCCCCGGGCTCCATGGCAACCAGTGATGTACATCCAGGAATTCACCCCACACTGCAACAGCCAGCACCCGCCCTGGGCTTTGAGGGGCTGCTAGGTCTGTCCAGCCTGGGGGTGGGGCCTCCCTGGGCCACTGGCTACCGCAGGGCCTGGCAAGGGCCCAGGCCAGCAGGAAAGACAGGGTGGGGAGTCATGGTGGGGCTCCAGGGTGCTGTTTTCTGGGCTGATGGTGGCCTGTGGCTCTGAGGATGACCATCAGTTGGAGCAGAGAGGGGCTGAGCGTGTCCCCCCCAGACAGGGTTGCATGAGCCTTGCTCTGTGCTGCACCTGGGGCAGGACAGTGAAGCCAGGTCCTCACGCATCAGCCCACAGGGAGGGCTCCTAGGATGGAAAGAGACCTGGACCAGGAGGAAATGGACAGCTGCTTCTGATGCTGGAAGCCTCACCTGGTTCTTCCAGGAATGGGTTGATAACGGTTTGAAGTGTCAGGGCCAGGCAAAGTGGTCACACCTGTCATCCCAGCAATTGAGAAGGCTGGGGCAGGAGGATTGCAAGTTTGAGGCCAGCCTCAGCAACTTAGCAAGAGCCTGTCTCAAAATAACTAACAGAAAATTAAAAAGGGATGGGGTGAGAGCTGGGGTTGTGGCTTGGTGGTAGAGCACTCACTTAGCACGTGTGGGGCCCTGGGTTCGATCCTCAGCACCACATAAAAATGAATAAAGGTATAAAAATATTTTTAAAGCGGGATGGGGTGTAGCTCAGTGGTATTCCCCAGCATGAATAAATAGTTACCTAGTTTTAAGGAGTTAAAGGAAGCAGCAGCAAAGTCTGAGGTGAGGGAGGACGTCGGGCTGTCTGGCATCTTGGAGTGGGCTGCTGGGCCTGAAGATCTAGATGTCCAGTGTCTAGCAGCAGCGTCACTGTTTCCCTGTCACGGGAATCAGGACAGTGGGGACTAGACGGGTCAGAGGGTGACTGCTCGCAGCAGAAGGCCCACCGCAGCAGCCTGCGCGTGCCCTGGGACTTGTGCTGCCTCTGGGAGGAACTGGCAGGTTTCAAACTGCAGTGTGTGCAAGGCCCTGTCAGCCGGCGGGTGCCAGCCCACCATGTGGCCAGGGACCCGTGCAGGCCAGTAGGTGAGCAGAGCCTGGGCTCAGAGTGGGCAGGGGAGCGGGTGGTGGAGGACCTACTCTGAGAACAGCACTTTGGCTTAAGAGGGGACACAGGAATCCTGGGGCAGACTGGCAGTTGTGATGGGGTCCCTCCCTGCCGTGGACCCCTGCAGGAGTGGGCATGGCTGGGCCTTGGGCCCATGGGGAGTCAGTGAGGGTGGGGGCTACCACCCTCCCTGCACCCCAGGCCACACCTGGCACCTTCCTCCTCAGTGTGACCAGTATCGCAAGGGCATCATCTCGGGCTCCATCTGCCGGGACCTGTGTGAGCTGCACAAGGTGGAGTGGAGGACCTGTCTGTCCTCAGCCCCAGGCCAGCAGGTGCTCCTTTGGGAAGGTTGGGTGGGCTGGGCCACCCCCGTGGCAGTGGGAGGGGCCTCTGCATGGAAGTTGCTGTGGCCTCATCCAGGTGTACAGCGGACTCTGGCAGGACAAGGAGGTGACCATCAAGTGTGGCATTGAGGAGGCCCTCAACTCCAAGGCCAGGTCTGAGGCAGCCCCCCGGCGGGAGCTGGTGCTGTTTGACAAGCCCACCCGGGGCACCTCCATCAAGGAGTTCCGAGAGATGACCCTCAGCTTCCTCAAGGTCAGTGGGCTCTCCTGGTGGCCACTGGGCCGCGTGCTGTGGCATCCACACCTGCCATGTCTGCAAAGCCTGGAGAGGCCTAAGTGGACCCTGTGGCGACCCCATTCCCCACCCCTGGGCAGGAGGCAGGCTGGAGAAGGGACCTTTCCAGTGCAAGTGGTAAGGGCTCAGGAAGTGGAGGACAACGTGTCCAGTGTGGCAGGAGCAGGTCAGGTGTGAAGTGACTCCATTCAGCACAGCACCCACTGCTACAAGGGGCAGCCCTGAGGGACCTCCCCCCACAGACTCATGTGGGCAGTCCGCCTGTCAGGTGCCACTGCATTCCCAGGTCAGAGGACGAGCCAGAGCCTGCGTTCTGCCAGCCTGCATGAGTCCTGCATGAGGCTGTGGTCCCAACCCCAGCTCTGGGTGATGTGGTCTCCCTTCCTTTTGGTCCCCAATGCCAGGCGAACCTGGGAGACCTGCCGTCCCTGCCAGCCCTAGTGGGCCAGGTCCTCCTCATGGCTGATTTCAACAAAGACAGCAGGGTGTCCCTGGCRGAGGCCAAATCCGTGTGGGCCCTGCTGCAGCGCAACGAGTTCCTGCTGCTGCTGTCCCTGCAGGAGAAGGAGCACGCCTCGCGCCTGCTGGGCTGCTGTGGGGACCTCTACCTCACTGAGGGTGCTCCCCGCGGCTCCTGGCCAGCTGCGCTGCCACCCCTATTGCGCCCACTGCTGCCCCCCGCGCTACACAGGGCCCTGCAGCAGTGGTTCGGGCCTGCGTGGCCCTGGCGTGCCAAGATCGCCATCGGCCTGCTCGAGTTTGTGGAAGACCTCTTCCACGGCTCCTACGGGACCTTCTACATGTGTGAGACCACGCTGGCCAACGTTGGCCACACTGCCACCTACGACTTCAAGATGGCCGACCTGCAGCAAGTGGCGCCTGAGGCCGCTGTTCGCCGCTTCCTGCAGGGCCGCCACTGCGAGCAGAGTGCCGACTGCACCTACGGGCGTGACTGCAGGGCCCCCTGCGACCGGCTCATGAGGCAGTGCAAGGGCGACCTCATCCAGCCCAACCTGGCCAAGGTGTGCGAGCTGCTGCGGGACTACCTGCTGCCTGGCGCGCCAGCTGACCTCCGGGAGGAGCTGGGCAAGCAGCTACGCACCTGCACCACACTGAGCGGGCTGGCCAGTCAGGTGGAGGCCCACCACTCGCTGGTGCTCAGCCACCTCAAGACCCTGCTCTGGAAGAAGATCTCCAACACCAAGTACTCCTGACACTGAGGCCTGTCCACTGTCCCCTGGCCCTCCGCAGCACCTTGCACCTAGGCCACAGCTTCTGGAGCTGGCAGCACTTAGCTCTCCAGGGGTCCCAGCAAGAAGCACTCCTGGATGCCCCACTGCAAAACTGTCCCCCCCTCCCCCAGGGCTCTGGGCTCTCTGGGTCCCAGAAACCCAGACAGAACATCACTGCTCTAGCAGTAAAGGCCAGAGCTGAGGAGCACAGGAGGGCCTTGGCCTGAGGTCCAGGAGGCTTTCTGCTCTGAATAAACGGCTCTTATGTGATGCCTGGCTGTGTGGAGTCAGGCTCCCACCAGTGCCACTCAGGGGAGGACCGGGGAGCCAGCTCCCCAGGCTGACTCCCACTCCCCAGTGGTGGTGGGAGCAGTCCTTGGATCAAAGTGTCTGTTCTCCTAGGGCATGGCCATGAATACTTTCACCGTTCTCACGTGGGAGCAAACCCAGGGTTTGCGTGCTAGGCAATACCACCAGCCCCACGTCACCTTTGGTTCCAGCACCAGTTGGCAGCCTAAGAAGGGTGTTCAGTGAGGAAGGAGGTAGGGGAAGTAGGCACTAGGCAGGGGCAATGTTAAGAAGAACCTTAATTCCCACCTCTGGCAGCCATAGTAGTCCAGGAATTTAAAAACTTCAGGATGACAGAGGTTGTTGCCTATGCCTTGAACCAGGTCCCCATTACCAGGTGTGCTCAGCAGCTGTCACAGGGATCTGCACAGGAAGGGTCCTAGCAGGGACCCATACACTTTCCCCAAGGGGTCCCTGCTCAGACAAAGACTCCTCAAGCAAAGCACATGAAGCAAATCTTTTAATGCACTGTAACACTTTTGGCTTAAAACTTCAGTTATTGTTCCAGGTGAAATTCTGAAACTTCAGCCATAAGTCCTTATGTTCTTGGTGTTAACACTTGAACCTCGCTCTGTGAGAGAAGTTAACTTTTCCCAGCAAGTCCCCAGGAAAGGGGAGATGGGCGATGGCACTCCACAGGCACACAGGCCAAGCCAGGCCACGTCCTTCTTGGCCTCTCTGGATCTGAAAAATGAAATGGTGGGGGTCAGACCAGGTTTGCCAGGGAATCTAGTCCTGAGTCTATCTGAAATTTACACTGTACCACTGAGCCACACCCCAGCCCTCTTTATTATTTTGGGACAGGGTCTCACTAAGTTGCCAGGGTAGCCTGGAACTGTGATCTTCTAGCCTCAACGTCCTGCCCCTTGCCACATGTCTCAAGGGTCCTCAACATGGATTGAGGACACGCACGGCAGTTCCCACTAGCTCTGTGGTTCTTGGTCCTTTCCAAGGAAGGTAAAGCCAGGAAGATCCTTCCCTTCCTCATCCCACTGTGCCAGAAGTCAGATTCCCTAATCCTCATACCCTGCCCCACTTTACAAGTGAAGAAACTAAAAACCAAAATCCAGGGGCTGGGGGAATAGCTCAGTGGTAGAGTGCTGGTCTAGCACACAAGGCTTGGTGTCAGTCCTCAGCACGCCAAAAACCACCAAGTTTAGCATCCTGTTCAGGGTTCTCAGCAACAACCAGACCAGTGTGCAGTGGCTGCTGCCAGGGCCTATGATGCCACCCTTTGGAGCAAACCAGGTGGTCATTTCCAAAGCAGGAATCCAGCACCACTTCACTGCGGTTCTAAGAAATGTGAGGCTATAAACCATTCTTAGTGCTCACTGGTTTCTGAACACTGAGCGTAGAAATAGCCACTTGCTCTTTGCCCTGATGTCGTAGGTACAGCAGAATGGCCCCACCTGTGGTGCTGGCAGGTCCAGGACAGCACCTTCAGGGCAGCTTCTCACACCTCCAGAGGGACCAGCCTGTCCTTCCTCTTACCTAAAAGGGGCTGCAGAAACTGGCTGGTTGTCCTGGCCAGTGATCATACCACGAGGGTTCAGTCACCTTCCTTCCTGCATTGAGTAACAAAATGTAAGAGGACAGCACTCCCCCGGCGGAGAGGATGGCTGCAGTCGGTACTGAACCCTGTGTGGATTGTCCCTGAACACTTGGCTGGGAGACTCACCTCTGTACATTATCATCTACTTGGGAGCCATTAAGTACAACTTAAGGGCCACTTCAACACTACACTGCCACAGTGACAGTTCAGACATTCCATCAAGCTACCATGACTGACAGATGTAGACGGCATACAGACTAGAAGTGCTGGGCAAGGACAAGTCATGTCTAGGCTTTAGCCTGTTCCTCAGTGGAAAGCAGTTTAAACTTGAAGAATCAGTTACTCCTGGGGACTTGGTATTCAAGCTGTGGTTGACCAGAGGTAATGGGGAACTGTTGCATAAAGCTGGCTACTTCACTTATCACTGTTGACCAAGCCAAAAGTCAGGAGCCCTCCCTGTCCCTGACAAGATGGTTAGTGAGGACTGGCTATCTACCAAGTGCTGCACTTAATTCTTCCTATAACTAGCCTCCCCCACAGCCAAAGATCACTCGTACCCAACTTGACTCTCTTCAGAGCTGCAGGAACCTGGAGACTTCTGCACCTACACACCACCCTCTCCCAGGGCCCTCAGATCCCAAGTGCACAAAACAGGAGCAGGGGAGAGGGTAGCCCAGCCTGGCTCTGGGATTCAAAGCTGCTCCCTCACATGTGTGACAGATTGCTGGCCCATGAAGCCATGTGCCAGGTTTCAACCTGCACCTGTTTCCACAGGAGTCTCTGTACAAGCCAGTGAATCAAGGAGATGGCAGAGGTGGTCCCAAGTACCAACACTCTGGTGGCCTAAAACCATCTCAAGCACCTCAAGACTGTTAGGTGTTGTAGGCAGCACTCATTTCCAAGGACCTTGAGAAGGTCGCCACATTTTACGGCTTTCAAGGACTGATCTAATGGACACCCCCTGGCAGGATGGGCCAGCTCTACCACCTGCTGTGGAGGGCTGGCCTCACACTCAGGCTGCAAGAGGCCGTGTCCAGTGTCAGGCTATTAATCATTCAAACGTTCACGGGTGAGAACACTGAGCGTAGACATAGCCTCTCTTCTCTCCGCCACCTACTGACGCAAGTGCGACACAGCAGCCACACTGCAACGCCTCTAGGGGCAGTGCTCCCAGCATCCCCTCCCTTAGGAGGGCCACATCTAACAGACAACGCTTGCAGGGAACCCAAGTCAACTTACCCAAGGTCCTGCATCTCCTTGCGGGCGCTCAGCTTCGGGCAGGCAAACTCCCTAAGTCAAAAAAGGCCGCGCGTTAAACGGGTCTTGGCGAGGCCAGGACGGGCTGCGCAGGGGCTCGCGGCCTCACCCGGTCTCCAAACAGAAAGGAGAGCTGCAGGGTAAGGCTCCAGGCCACCAGGGCGTCCTGCGGGCCCGTCCTCCCGCTTCCCCGGAGTAGGAGCTGAGCTCCAGCACAGCGGCGCCGCAGGGGCCGGGCAGCACTGGCCGCCACCCGCCAGCCTCGCCGCGCGGGACCCCGCCCCGCCCCGACGGCCTTGGCTCGCTGCAGGCTGGTTACGCCGAGAACCTGGGTCTGGGCAGTGTCCTTGCCTTCGGAGCTTGGCGGCGCTTACGCGGGCGCACAGCAGCGGCCCTCTGGTGTCCCTTCGCCTAGAGAGGAGACAGGGGTCCCATACCTGGCCCCGAGACGGCCGCGCCTGGGAGGCCCCGCTGGCGCTCGGCACGGTGCGCCACCGCGCCCGCGTTGGGAACGCCCAGGCATCCCGGCCACACCACAGCCATCCGGCCGCCCCGCCGCCCGCCGCAGAGAGGATGAGTGGGCCGGCGCCGAGTCCTTTATAGCGGGACCTACGGCGGCCCGCGAGGGACATCTCCAGCCGGCGCCGCAGCGCCCTCTAGCGTCGCGCCGCGCCTTGCCCCCGGTAGTACCGCTCCCGCCTCCCGCCTCCCGCCTCCCCGCCCTGGGCAAGGCCTGGCGCTGGTGTTCCCGGATCCCAGGCCGTGCAGAGGCTTCCTACGGAAAACTCGGCTCGTGTCCACTTGTGACGGGGGTCCACTCGACTGCAGTGGCCTTTTTTTTTTTTTCTGTACTAGGGATTCAACCCAGGGGCACTTTACCCCGGAGCCACATCCAGGGCCTCACTGAGTTGCTTCAGGCCTCCCAAAGTGGCCGAGGCTGGTCCTGAATGGGCAATCCTTCTGCTCAGCCTTCGTCCCGCGCCCAGCCTGCAGGGCTTATTTTAAAACCCATATTTTTTCCTCTTTTGTTTTCTTGTCCCCCTCCAGCGCTCCCTCACAGCCTGGGAAATAAGACTGACATTCTCCACGCCCCAGGCCACTCTCCGTCCTTCACTGACCAGGAGAATAAAGCCTGGGAACCCTGCAGGGCTCTCTCAGGACCCCTGATGGACAGTAATTCATCATTTCTCCTGATAAAATGTGGATCCCAGCCCTAGCCTTCCTCTCTTGCAGGGACAATCACAGCCATTGGGACAGGAGTCCCACGAGGAGGGGGACAGGGCCTGAGCTTTCCGGTCAGGCTGGGATCACACTGGGATTCTCCGGTGCTCTCTGACTGGCCAGCCTGCCAGGGACACGGTGTTGGCAGTTGACTTTCTGCTTCTCGTGGAGGTTGCTGAGGCAGTGGGGAAGGCCCCACTGTGAGTTCATCAGTCTCTGAGCGCTCGGGCCAGGTACCAGGCTCTTTGTGCCTCTGGCAGGTGTGCTGGCCTGCCAACAGCCCCTGCTGCTCTAGGGGCAGAGCCAGGAGCCAAGCGGTACATTCAGATGCACTCCACTAGGGGCTCATCCTTCTCTGTCGGACATCCGCTGCCTAATGAGTGCTGAGGCTGGTGAGACCCGAGTGCACCTTGGTGAGCACCCCTGTGCCCTGGTGGGGCAGGCCTGCCAAGCTTTCTGTCTGTTCCAAATCATGAATCTTCACAGTCATGGGGGGAAGGAGGTGCCCCATGTCCACTGCTCAGAGGGGAATGGAGGCCCCAGGGTTAAGAAGGGTGCCCTGGTCACTTGGTTGGCAGTGTTGAAGCTGAGATGGGGATGAGGGCTCTGGAGCAGGGACCATCAGGTGAGGACACCAAGAACAAAGGTGCCAAGCTGGGCCACTCACTCCATCCATCATCATGAACTGACCCGCCACCAGGCTGAAGGGAGTGCCAGAGTGAGGCTTCCCACTCGGCCCTGGGCGGAGGAGACCATCGGGGCTCTGATGCTGGAGGTGGCATGGGAGCGGAAAGGCACTACAGCCAGTCGAAGTCACAGGTGGCAAAACTCTTACAACAGGACCCACCTGTGCATGCACCTCTTCAAAGACAGCT